GATTTCAATAATAATTTTGGATGAAGTAAGATTTTTTCATTCGATTATAGAAAACATTAAAGCTTTCTTTGCTAGAATATCTACTTCTTCATTGTATAGATCATTAAAGTGTACTTTCCTTTGTTTTTTTACTTTCTTCATTTTAGCAAACTGTTTTGAGTGCTTCAATTGTGTCCTGAATTTCTTTTTGAATTTTTGACCAAGGTATGTTTTCTATACTATATTGTAAATATAAGTTATCAATTTGAAGTTTAGAGTAGTGTTTTTTGTTATGTTCTTATATCACTATATTGAAAGTCTATATGTCTTCATATGCTTTGATCAGCTTTACTTTTTTAAACAATATATTGAGTTTAATGGCTCTTTTATATTTAATAAATTTGGGTCTCAGTCGAAACTTCTTTTCCTAGTTTGGTCTTGTTTTTTTTATTGCCAATTTGGAAGAGATTGTTGAAGTTATCTGGTTTTCAAAGAATTTCTATATTTGATTTATTCATAGTTTTGTTGATATCTTGTTGAATTTATTTTCTAGTAGTGACATCAATTTTGTCTTGAATTTGTGATCTACATTTTTCCAATACTTTTTCCATTGTTCTTCTGTAGATCCTTTGATATCTATTATTTTAATAGCCTTATTGGATTGATAATAGATCTTGCTTCTCGAAAAAAGGTTCTTATCTTGCAGTATAACTGTTAATATTGTATGATCACTTCCTGTCATGTCTAATATATTCTTATTTTTAAAGAGAATTATTGGAAATTGTGTCATACTATAGAACATTCACAAATAATTAATTCTACTTTTACTTGTGGCATTTTGTCTAGTATGTGATTTGTTTTTTGCTTCTCAAATTGTCTGTATATCAATAAAGTCTCTATTTTCAAGAAAAGTAAAAAGTGAAATTTCTGATTTCCATGATAGTCTAAACGTTGCCTTGGATATTAATGTTCTGTCTTCTATAAAATTATATACTGTATTGAAGTCTTCCATTATGATTAGCTGAAATTTTTTTTCTAGTTTTTCTTAAATTAGTTTCTTGACTTTTTTTCTTGTCATTTGGTAGATATATCTATATGATACAGGTTTTATTTTGTTTTGCCCAAAAGTTGGCTGCTATTATATATATTCTTCCCATTTTTTGATCAATGCAATTTTCTTTTCTAGATCTTTTCTTATTAGTAAGCTGACTCCTACTCTATATGGAGTCTCCTCATTTATACTGAAAAAATGTTTGTAGAAGAATTGATTCTTGAAGGTCTATTTGCTATTGGTGGAAGTGAGTTTTGTTTCACTTAATCCTATTATTCCTATTCCTTGTTCTTCTATCTCTTTTAATAGGTTTGTTGTTTTATCATATCAATTATACCTTTTACATTGTGTGAGCCTATTCTAATTACTCTATTTTCTGTGGTATCTGTACTATATATATTATTATCTTTGTTTCTACTTTTTTATCTTTCTCTTTATTTAAAAATATTGTTTTTTGTTTCTCTATAAATGTTTTTAACTCTTCCTATTGCGATTGCTTTATTCTTATTATCTCTATTCTTGTTCTCTAACCCTCTTTTTGAGTTGCATTATGGGAAGGACAGGAGGACCCACTGCCTTTTGCATAGGTTGTTTCAACTGATGTACCTTTCAGGAGCGGTTTTCTTCCCTTCTGCCTTTTATCTTAAAAGATAGATAGTTTTCTTTTTCTAGTTTATATATTCTATTATTGAGTTTTTCTAGATTATCTAGAATCAATTGCAATGATTCTTGTTAAACACTATTGTATTTACTATTAATATTGCCATTGAAGATTTTTTTATATCTGTTTCACTATCTCTTCTTTTAAAAGTTTAATAGTATTCTATTGTTTCCAGTGGCTGGGTATCTTGGAACAAATCTTTTGAGAGTTTGGCTCCATATGTTTTTTCTTTTTTTATTTTCTTCAATCAGTGGATTCTTTTGAGCTAGTTGATTTTAGACCAGAATTTGAATTATTGTCAATTTTTATGATTCTTTTCTGGATTGCTCTTGTATTATATTAATAGATCTGTTTCATTTTTCCATATCTGAATTTCTTAAGGAGATTATGTGATCTTTGGTGTATTTTACACTCCATAATAGTCATAGTTCTGGTAGAAAAACATGTTGTTTGCATGCTTTGTTCAGATCTTCTTTGCTTCAAAATATACTATTGTAAAGTTGAATTTTTGCAATATATGAGAATCTCTTAGTGTATAACAGGCTTTGGCTTTTGTTCCTCCTACTGCTCTGGTTACCAAGCTTGAGTATATTTTGTTTGTTCTAAAGAGTCTTGCAAAATAAATATTTTGTTGAATTATGATATTCGTGATATCCCTGTCTGATAGCTCTGCTTTGGTGAAGATTATTCTTACTATTTGTGTTCCTATTGAAGTCATCCAAATATTTTCCAAGTTAGTATTAATGTATTTATATTTTTTGATACAAGCTCTCATTCTGATTTTGCCTTTTTGATAGCTATATATATTTAGATTTATAATTTTACCATATCTCTTAAGATGTTCTTTTAGTTGAAATTAGGTTGTTTTTTGATCTATGTCTATCAAACTGATATAGAAGATCTCTTCGCTTTCTTCTGGTATCAGCTTCTTAAAGAATTTTTTTCTGTCATTTTGTTGATTTATTGTATATTTTTTTCTTTCCCATTGGAGTTTAGTTGTTAAATGTTGAAGTTTTCTTCCTTATAGTTTATTTCTTCTATATATTTTAGAAGATCTTCTTCTTCATTAACATAAAAGGTCAACCATTCATTATTATTTAGGAATTCTGTATGCAATAGATTTCTTTGTCCTGCTGATAGTTTTAGCAGACCATTCATATATGCTAGTGTTTCTTTTTTAGTATCTCCTGGGATATTGGCCATCATATTACCAATTTTATAAGTTTCCTTTTTAGTTATGTAATAGGAATTGTTTATTGTCGCTTCTTGATGATTTCTGGTGAAGTAAGTATTGAGTTCTGCAATACTTGAACCCTGTACCTTCTTACAAATTTTCTCCATTATTAGATTTTCCTTCTTATTTATATGAGTTGTTGTTTCAATTTCTACTGTTTGTTCATTTTCCAAGTTCATGATAATTTCTATGGATTAACAAATATTTTGTTTTCCCTTGTTACTATTTTCTTTAACTATATTTAAATATTTGTCTTCTAGAAATTGTTGTTATAAATCTTCTTCTCTTCCATTATCTTGTTGTCAGAGATACATAATGTATTGTATTAGGATATGTTCTTTATAAAAGGTTGCTCTATCTACTTCTAATATTTTGGCAATTATGCTATCTGTAACTGTGAATGTTTCTGGTGAAAGTGTGTATCTATAGTTGATGCTTGTTTCTTCTTTCTGTCGAAGCAGCTGCTGTGTTGCTCACATTTTACCTTTTTCATTATACTGTCAGATTATATTAATTAAAATATCTAATATCCTGTCTTCTCTATTTTATACTATTTGTAAGATTGCTTCAGCTTTATCCATATCTATAGTATTGATATTGTGGGTATTGAGTATACTGTATATTCTATTTTGTCATATGACAGTTGTCAAATATTTTATGTGTTTTTTTTGTTTATATTTATCAGTATTCTAAATTTAGACTATAGATAAACTTTTTTGTTGTTGTTGTTTATATGCATCTATTTAAGTAATACAAAAAATCTTGTGTGTTGTTTTGATTGTTTATTTGTTTATGTTAGTAATCCTATCCTAATTTGAGAGTTGTTGCCATATTTGTGTAAAAAGTCAATCAACTTGTTTGAACAACAAAGTATATGTATACGGGCTTGTTTTCTTGTCTTGCTTTTACATATTCGTATTTGCGTGATGAAATTTGGGATAGGTATATTGTTTTTGAGTATGTACATTAAAACTGTCTTGTTTTTAGAGAATTTTGATATTCTTCTGGACCTTAATATAACTGAAGAGACGTGATTTATTGAGTGGACTTAATTGCTTTTTGAATTCCTTATAATGTCAAAAAAGGTGTTAGCCTGCACTGGCTTGGCTATAAGCTATGTGAAATTGATATTGGCTCCCTTTTTCTGACTGTGAATCAGTTTTCAACTTTTCTTTCTTTCTTCAAAAAAATTTAAGAAAAAGAAATAAAAAATTAGTGAAATAATGTATACCTTTATCATTGGTATTTCCCGATGATTTTATGTATGTAGTTGAATATGTTGTGCATGTTTAATAGCTTGGTCTAAGGTTTTGTACTTCTTTCTTGTGTGTGTGTTTAGACTGGTTCACTTTTTCCAAGAAAATTACCAAAAAAGGAGAATCAGCGGAAAGAGTTTTTTAGTGATTTATTCTACATTTAGACCTACAAGTTTAGTTATACATTTATATATTATGATATCATTAGTAATGAATAATACTTACTTCAAGCAATTTAAGAATGCAGTGCGCGTCTTCAAGAATTCCAAATTCATCCTCGTCTGATGGTAATCTGCATCGATCTACTAAACCGAATCTGTATATCCCGGATCCTGCCCAATCCATGGCATAAAAATTAAGTTCTAGTCCTATACATAAAATTGGAATTTATTAGCAATTAAGCCTAACTTACGTCAATAATGCAGGTAAACTTACCGAATTGGAGCCACCCATATATAATTAAATTCGTACGTTTCTCACATGATACGTATTTACATTCCTTTAGAAGTCGGTTTATGCTGTCTCGCATTATTACCATGAGCTTTACCTTGTCAAGGTAACGTTTTTTACGACAAGCAGTAGGTATTCCAAGCGGACCCAATCCCCCTGATACTTCTCCATGAATAATTTCGAATTTATTAGATGTTTTGATAAGAGTACTTTTCATATCTACACGTCTTCCTATTCGTGCCTTTTTAAATGGACTTTTCTTTTCGTTGCGTGCGTAGTTTGTAGATAAAGCCTAAATTTCCCCCCTGGATATATAGAACGGTTATTATTAGTTCCGAGTATTTGAAATAGGCAAAAACAAATGATTACCAAGCATTTTTAATCCTATTGGAACTGAACACTCCGCTAAATAGTGGAAATGTTGAACTCATTTTTAGTTCTTCCTCCGTCATCATTCCTTGGAAACTAGATATATCGCTTTTCCTGTACAACAACCCAGAGTCAGAATATTATGCCCAGATAATAAATAAAGTAAAAACTTATACATACATAAACCGGATATTTACTGTATATCTAGTTTTCCAATGTTGTCTGCATTTTTTTCACAATTATTATCAAAATATTCTCGAATATGCTTTTCCGGAGGCATTGTTTTCCAGGAAATTTTGTTGGAAAAATCTTGCGAAAGTTGATTTATGTCTTTTTCTGTGAGGTGTTTACAATAATATGAGCTTTCTCTCGTTAAGTCCAGAACTCCCCAATACGCAGGTCTATTGGATGAAATAATAAAAAGTATTAATAATTAAGCTGTTACTAAAAACAATGGTAGATGGCATAAAACTTACGTAAAAATCCTACGAGATTTTGGAATCGTCTTTTGAAATTCCCAAAATGCTTCAATGATACTCACATCCAGGTTTTTTTGTTGATCCTATAAGGATACAATAATGAGCCTACTGAATATATATTTCCAACCGTTAACATTAAGGTTTACCTCAATGCCACTTGCTTGTGGTAGTATGCCCTCTTGCTCAAGTGTTTTTTCATCAATAACTTCCACAATAGAATCTTCGTTTGATTCATCAAATAGTAACGACAATCCCTCGTAATCTATCTCGTCTTCTTCTTCTTCTCTATTTCTTTTATTTTTATATGCTGACCTTCCACTCTCTTGAGGTCTTTCAGGATCAACATTTTCACCTTCCGATCTCTTAAATACAAAATCAAAATTAACCATTAATTTTTTTAGACGCACAGAAAAATCCGATTATTTGTAACCTACATTAAGAAACTAGTTTGATTCTGACGCGCCATTATCTCCTGTAAATAATTCAATTATTTGTTCTTCGCAATAACCGGACAACTCACTTAAATATGACTCATCTTCGTTGTCTGTTATGTCAAAAATTACCGATTTTAGTTCAGAAGGAGTTTGATCGATCTCGTCGTCCAAATCCTATAGAAAGACGAATTAAAAATTATGACATAAGAATAACAAACAGCAATAAGAGAAACTTACAGCGTAAACATCAGATCTTTTATTCATTCGATCATTTTCTTTTGCGGTTTGAAAATCAACTCGCGTTTTGTTTGTTTTAATTATCCTTTCCTAAATAAAACTTTATGTTAGTAAAAAAAAGATTCAAGTGTAGCCTGAAAAGATCCCTTCTTACTTTTGCTCGTAATCTCCTTATATGTATTAAGGTATCTCCTATGGTTTTCAAACAATTTTCTTTCTGGTAAGATCGTTTAGAAAGCAAATTAATCGAATTGTAATGAGAAGAAACTAGATCAAATGATAGAATGCCTTACATTCTGTTTATTAACAATATTGCGAACATACTGTACGACGTCATTGTTGATGCATCCGACCATAGTTATACATATCAAACACTTGTTTTGGTGATATGCTAGGATTTTCTTCATAGGCGAATCTTGTAAATAAGTCAACACAATTCCACTTGGTCAACAATGTTTTAGTGAAAAATTGACTTATTCTAGAGTGTGGTCGACAAAATTTTGCATTCAGTTTGAACTTATCAATCTTGGTCATCTATTATTCGTAGAAAGAAGTTTGATTAATCAACAGTAATATGAAGTTCATATGCCAATAACTCTAGTAAGCCCCATCCGGGTACAAGTTATTCAGTCGCAACTATGTGGTTGAATACATAGAAGTTCCAGGCAATCTCTTAACATATGACTTTAGCTATCCCTTTCGTGTTGAACGATCAGGTAGAAAAGCAGATGTCCTGAACACAGACCAATACTCTCCCAAAAGTAAACTCTTTCCGCCAACCACTCCTCTTACACGTGTGTTGAACACGGAAGATTTGCACGTAAACCCTGAAGGATTACATTCCAGCATCCTGTCTGTCTGACCAGTTGTCCGCCCTGTTGTGTTGAACTCCAAGGCAAAGTCTGGTGGTTGCCGTGCAACAAAGGTGGCGCGTGTACATTGGAAAAACAGAAATATCAGTAATACCTAACCTTTAGTAACTTTTACACGCGAGTAAGGTAGTAAAGTAAAAGAAAAAAACGCACAAATTTAAACAGCCATAACACGTGACATTGCAATCAAGATACAATATTATATCCAATAATAATAATAACAAAGCAAGTCCAAATGTGATTAAACTTTTGAATATAACTGCTTTATATATACTATAAAACAATGGCAAGTGCACACAATCCACAGCTGATTCATTGAAGGAATTGAATTTTAGGCTTATAGCCGAAATCGATAAACTTAGAAAAGAGAATGCTGATATTAAGGAAAATAAATTACCCAAAATTCGAATCAGGTCGGCGAAAATCATGTAAGTGGTATATAAATGATTAGAAGATTAAGATCAGGCGCTACACGCTTATCACCCGAAGCAATTAGCGATATAATTACTGTCAAGGGTTCGGCAAATGCATTACCGAATCTAGCTAAAAATATAATGTATCATATGCACGAATTCGTAAAATATGGGAATTCGCTATTGCAGTAAATAATTGATTGTACCATTTTTTTTTAAAAAAATTCTCAATTTTACTCAGTTTCTCTACTAGCTCATCTAATGGAAGTTCCAATCCACATCTTCTAGCTTCTATCTGATTCTCGGGTGATAATCCACGAAGAAATTGCTGTTTAATAAAGACTTCGTTATTATTATATCCAATAAGTTTACTATGCCATTTTAGTTTCGAATAGAAGAGTTTTACAGAATCTGGACCTTGGATCGTTTGCTCAATAATTGATTTAAATTCATTGAATGTATTTGAAACATTATCCAAGTGTTCTACTATTTCATTTATAGGCTTTTCAATCCCGAATCTGATAGCTTCTTTTTTGTTATCGGACATTAGATTTCTGAAGAATAACGCTTTAAACGCATTGCTATTATGATCTATACCTTCTTTTTGGGTCAGTACTTTTAAGTTCTCAAAATAACCCCGTGCACATTGACCAGATATAATTTCCATCGTGATGTTTTACCCTGGTAGCTTATGTTATTATAATAATATTTAATTCTGCACTTTTTAATATGCATTAATAAATAATTTAACATTACAATGACTGAAGCTAATAATAATATTGATGACAACCCAGTGGAAGAATCCATAAAAAACTTTAAACAATGTTTGATTGACGTCAATGATGAAGTTGTGGAGAGCATAGTTGATTCAGGCTCAGAATGTCCAATTATCACTTATGAGATTGCGAAAAAATTGGGTTTTGTAAAAGATAAA